AATAGCATTACAATATCGATAAAAAGCACTCACTTAGCTAATCTTTCCCATGGGAAAGAATAATGGCGGTTAAGGTGGAAATAAGTTAAACATATCTTTCAAACTAACATTATTTATTCCATCCAAAAGCTATCTGTTAAATATATTTTTGGTAAATACATATTATATAAATAAAAACAAAGGGAGGGAGGGGGAGAGAGAGAGAGAATTGTGTGCGTTCATAGTTTACTATGAATATATATATTTAATAAAATTATTAATCATTAGTAAAAACTATTATTTTAATCACTTTTAAATTCGACAACATTTTTACAGATTTTAAAATATAAAAGCCAATATTTGTTCGGTACAAATAACTAAAAATATACGTGCAAATTATTATGAAATTCAGGAGGATTTTCAAAAATACAGGAGATGACTATAATGAAAATAAATAGAACATCAAAATAGGAAGCTTGAACATTGAGGGCTAAATAAATGCATGCCTGAATATATCAAGTAGATGTATTATTAATTTAATCCAATTTCATTTCTTAAAATGAGTCATTTCCGGAAGATAAAAGCAAAACTAAGCATGGGACAATTTGCATTTTAGACTAATTTATTACAAAATACATGAAATGCATGAGAATTAGCTGAATCATACAAAATGATAATATATTATCATTATCATTATTAATCAGATAAATCATAGTAAATGTTAATATATTATCATCATTGTAATCAACCAAAATGACATAAAATGATAATAACAATAATATTTTGCATTCAGTTTTCTAGATATGTAGAATAGATATGCATTCAGTTTTCCAAATGAATACGAAACAATATTGGAATTCGTAAATAAACTTAATTTTAAGAAATATTTAACAATTCTTTTGCTTACAAAATCCTTTAAAAAATTAAGTGAAAGAAGAAAAAAAAAGAAATCAATTGTAATTTATACCTTTTAACATCTATAAGGTATTATGATATATCTTTTTCCCTCTTTTTTCATTCAAAATTAGCATGTAATATATAATATGGGAAGTAATTTTTGAATGAAATTAAAAATGAAAAGATAAAAAAATGATTGCTCTTACAATGGCTGACATCATTTTTATTTCTATTTTAAATCAATTCTCGGATGTTTTTATAAATGAGAAATTTCATAGGTTCTCATCTCACATTATTGATTAATAATTTTGTAGTACACAATTTCATTCTTTTCCTTAATTCAAAATTTACTAAAAAAAATTACATGGATATGACAGTTTTTCCCAGTTGCTTTATTAATACTAAAAAAAAAAAAACACACTTTAACCTAATATCCACTGTGTGTCCATCTATGCACACCACACACATAAAATTGTTTAATGAAATATTACTTAATGATATTAATAGAAAATCAATATCATAACTTAAAAAACTGCTGCGTTTATAATTTAATAAAAGCATTAATTAATTATATGTGATTAAATTGAAAAAATGTATTTTTCAGTTCATTAAAATAAGAATGAAAAGTGATTTAAAATTTTTGTTTCATTTACTAAATTTTGTATATATATGCATCGCACAAATTTCCAATAAATCATAAATAGAAAATAATATTACTTTTATCATATATCGTAAGTAATTATGCACCATTATTAGTATTTTAGTAAAATAAATGAAAGATCACTTCTTGCATTGCATTTTTATTAATTTATAACTTATTTATTCTTCATTATCTTTCTTTTTCCTCATTCTTTAATTTATTCATTATAAAAATGTTTTTCCATCTTTTTTAAAAAAACAAAAATTTTATTTTAAAAAAAAATCATATTTCTTATTTCTGTTTTTTTTCTTTTTCTACCTTTATTCTATAAATTTTAAACCAGCTCAGAATTCTTTTTTTCTATTTACCCTACTCAGACAAACAAACAAACAAAATTTTTTTTTCAGCGACAACAATAATAACAACAAAAAGAGGAAGCTTAAAAATTATTCAATTCATTTTCAACCCAAAATGATTCTTTCTTTTCCCTTCAATCTTTTCCTATTCTTACTTCACATTCACTCATTTCAATTTCAATTTCGTTAGCAAAATAATTCACATTTCGTAGTAGTATCCTTGCAAAAAGGCGAGAAGCTAATGAAGTGAAGTGAAAAATTGACGAAATGCATCCAAATTTACTTGCTATACACTTAAACTGCGCTAAATGAAGCATAAAATATGCAAACATTTTGAATTGCTAAGCATTAAATTTCTCATTTCTTTTTTTTTCCTTGTTTTTTTTTACAGTCCAAAAAATTTATAATCAAAAAATGAAAAAAGAAGAAGTGGTAGAAAAATTATTATACAACACTTCGCTCAAATAATGTAACCAAATAAAACAAAGTATTGAAAATTCATTGTTTGTTAATCCGAAAGTTTCCAAACTATAATTTTTCAAACATTTTATCAAATTGATCTATTTTAAAACTGTAATTTTTTAAAAAGGGATTTAAAAATAGATGTGAATCTGATATATATATATATATATATATATAGCATATATTTGTTAAATAGCATATGTTTTGTAAATACAGATTGGTTTGAATTACAGGAAGAATATTTCGGAGTGATGAAAAGACAAATTTTGAAGTTAAAAACGATCAGAAAACTGCTAAGAGTTCCTATAAATTTGCTCATTTACTTCTCAAATATTAAGCCAGGAATTATTGCTAGTGGAAAGAAACATAAAATTGAATGAATTATTACTTTTGATAATTTTAATCTAAATGTCCAACTTTTCTCTTATTCATCTCTTCTTACTCATATATTCTTTCACCCTCGCTTTTGCTTCCATTTTTCAGATTACTTTATGTAAAAACTTTTAAAAAATTTTGTAAACGCAAAATTAATTTAATTTTGAAAAAAATTTAATTCATTCATTTATGTTCAACGATATTAATAATGAAGCAGCAAGAAATTTATTGGTGAAATTCTTGACAAAATTTGTTGGAAAATATCTGACTAAAAGTCTTGAAATTTCAATGAATGGTATTGCCATAAAGCGTATTTTAATAAGCGCAAATAATTATTAACAACAAAAGGAAGCAAATATGCTTAGGCAAATTGAAAAAAAAAAAAGTTAGTTGATACTAAGTAAAGAATTATTAAGAATGAACTCACCAAATCTGATACTGCCAACGAAAAAATGAAATAATTGCTTGGCTGACGGATATTTTTATCTAAATAATAACATAACAAAACAGCTAAATTTCCAACGACCGTAACGACAGAAATAGCTCCCATAATAACAGATAGGACAATTGCGCCCCAAGTTAAGTGATGGCTAACTGAGGTACCAAGAACAGTTGTTTCTGACGAAAAAGTTGCATCAGTTGAAATGGGTAATACCGGATTCCAATTACTACCGATGTATTCATCCATGAAGCGCAAATTCAATTCATGGGCAGTTTACAATTTTCCTGCCGAAATATAGGTGAATGGGGGAAAAACGAATAAATAAATAAAGAATTAGCAACAGCAACAGCTCAATTCAAATAAATAAATCACGCCATATTCAATTTATTGCGATTTTTTGTAATTTTGATGAACTGTAGCAAATATTCAGGATTTTAGTATTTTCCCGAGATATCTCAATCCTTTTCTTATTAACAAAATAATTTGATAATTGGCAAAGACAGCCGCATTTTGCTGGTTGCCGCATAGCTTTTTTAACATTAGATCGTTCACACAATTAATATTTCGAATAAATGGATTTTCATCGTTCTTATTCTATCACAATATTTCGGATATTTTGAGCTATGAGATTTTTCTACTCCGAAACCTGCAAAAATAAAAAAATGTGTTGCTGTAGATTCAACTAATTAGTTATACATTTTGCTTAAACAACATTCCAATAATCTATGCATTATCGAAAATAGCTTTATTTATTCTATGATATTTATTTCACAACACACACATTTATGTACACGCACATTCATACATATCTGATTAATTAATTATTCAATTAAAATACATGAAAAACATTTCAAAGATACAAATAGTTGCTGTAAATGGTTGCTAATAACATTGACAGGAACTCAATTTATTAAAGCATTAAATCAAATTTTGCTGCTAATTTTCATCTAAAATGTTACATTATTTTGCATACACCAATAATTAATTAGTTGCCTAAAACTACTGAAAAAATTTTTTATAAATGCTATAGTTTGGCATTATTTGGTAAATCTTAATTGTAGCTCTTTTTTTTCAAGCAAATTTAATAAATAAGTTATGTTTTTTTTTTTTTAATTGAAACATGAAAAGAAGAGAAATGATATCTTTTAAATGTTTACAGATTTTATAACAAAAGCAGTAGTAATGGATAAGTTATTAGTAACAAATTGTTATTTGTTTCTTTTTTGCATTTTGCTTTCATCTTCTTTTCTCTCTTTTATTTCTCAAAATGAGGTTGAAGCGATGCTACAATTGTTGCTATAAATAAGAGCATTATTTCTTGCATGAATAATCTAATCAGGTGATGAATGTGACACTTACGTTGATAAACGAAATTGTTAAGGTGACAAAGCGACAATCAAAAATAAGGAAAATTTTATAAACAACTATCAGATAAAATAATTTTAAGACGATTTTTGATAAATAATAGACTTAAAAAATAGAGGAAACTGAAATTATTACTCTTAAAGATATCACTGATAAACTAAGAGACAAAATTATATTAGTATGCAGTTCTCTTTGTCATTTGTCGAAATATTAAATATACTTCATAAATTTCATAAATATGATTTAAAAAAAGAAAATTTATTAATTTTAATTATATATAATTTTGGAGACTTGGTACTGGAGCATCAAAGAATGGCAGATGGCAAATTCATCCATTGAAAGGCGAATTTTATTTCTTCAATTTGTTAAATCGAAAAAATCAACGCCATTTTCTGGATTGATTTCATTTTCTCTTTCCAATTTAGAAAACATAATAGAAATTGGAATTAATAGTTGAGTTAAGATTTTTCACAGTTTGTAAAAACTATACTGCAAAAATAAATATCGACGAGTTACGAAGTTTCGTAGCATATGCATATCTTTTTTTTTTCTTTGACATCTGCTCTGTAAAAATTGCAATTTTGGATTTGATAAAATTAAAATCAAATTTTTAGGTTACAAAAAGTAGAAGTTTAAATTTGACAAATGAAATTCAAAATCTGAAGAAGCTAAATATTAAGCTAAGAAACTTTATGTGTTTGGTGACTAAATTGCTAACTTGTAGACAAATCTTAGTGGTTGCCATGACTTCGATTTTGTTCTTACATGTTATGCAATTAATTCAACCAGATGTCAAGAAAAAATAATGCAGGTGGATGTATACTAAAAGTCTGATTTAAAATTTGAATAAATTATGGATTAAATTCTTCAAAATCATTATTAGTAAGGTTAATTTGATAAACGAATGAACGCTTAGAGCAGTAAATTGCCACTTAAAGCAAGAATCAACCCGATTCCTACTGGGCCATAAGTTTATTCCAAATACTGGACTATTTGCGCCATAATTGCTTATTATAATAAGCATAACAAAGACAATTGTCTTATTTTTCTCTGAAGTAGTTTAAAACTTTCAATCTGAGTTGAGTAAAATTCCGGAAAATGAGTAAAACCGTAAATGATAGTAAATAATGAGGAATAATATTTTGGCAGAAATTCAGAAAATGGAAAATAAAAAAGGAGATGAAAATAATTAAAACAAATAATTAAGCACTCATTAGCATTTCTAGCAGTTAAGCAGTGTGTGCAATAAAAATCAAAATCGTCGCACCAAAATAGAATATGTAATCTTTTTATTGTTGACCACTTTATCATCGGCTACTAACTAAGTCATTAACCACTTCATATAAAACATTGAAGCCTTGACATCTTGGTGACATGCAATAACTCCCGCACTTGACAATGATAAATAACAATAGAATAAGAAACAATAATAATGAATAATACATCACCGTATTTTCATTTGCCCATGATAAAACGATTTGTGATTCGATCAATTCGTCATCATTTATGCTTCCTATTTTCTTACATTCATTTTTCATTTACTAGCAAAATCATTTCGAAATAGTTATACATTCAACTTGTTTTTTCCTAAAAATTTTCTTGAAATTGCTGTTGTTGCTTGTTGTTATTGATGTTGCTGTTGTTGTTGTTGCTATTGCTGCTGTTGTTGTCATCGTTGTTTGTTATCGCTTATTGTTGTTAGCTTGCTGTTGTTGTTGTTGCAGTTGTCACAGCTGTTAGTATTATTACCATTATTTATTATTGTATTATTATTTTTATTGTTATTATTATTAGTGTTATTATTATTACTGTTATTATTATTATTATTATTATTATTATTATTATTATTATTATTATTATTATTTACCGTTGGTATTGTTGGTAATTTTGATTGAGAAAAGCCATAAATAATGCCTTATTTTTTCTTGCTACATTTCTTGAAAAAAATATCCAAAAAATCCCATAAATCTCATACATCCTAATGAATACTACATCTCCTTTCTTGTCCTCAGGAAATTATTTAAGATAAGAGGAGATGGGTCGAGTTGGAAATGGGTTAAAGCTAAATACTATCGTCAAAAAGAAGAAAAAGGAAGGAGGAGGGGGTAGTATAGATGAAATGAGAGGGCGGGAAGGAAATGCCTTAGATTATAGGCCTGTATGTTATATACATCATTGTGGCCTCTCCAAAATATAGCTAACATATACAAACTGAAAGAAATAAAAAGCTCCATCTCTCTCTCTCTCTTTCTCTCTCCCTCTCTCTTCAAACATCATCCTCTCCCACCTATTTTTCTTGTCCACCCTTTTTTCTTCCTTATTTGTCAACCTCTTCTTTTCTTTTATTTGATTCATTGCTTAACAAAAACTTAATTCTTCATTAATATATCTTAGCTTCTTTCTTCACTTATTCAAACTAATATTCATACCCACCACCTATATCTAATTTTCAATGTACTCATATTCATCTTCATACTCATACCCATATCTATACCTATATCCATACCCATACCCATACCCATACTTAAACACCCACACCTAGAGAGAATGTAATGTACGTCCGAATATACACATACATGCATACTACAATCTCTCTCATCAATCATATCTATTGTTGATTCACTAAAGTAATGTGTTTTCTTTTTTTCTAGATCAAAACAAAAAAGGAAGAAAAACAGATTTTACTTTTTTCCATCAATTTAAATCTTGCCAAAATTTTTTAACGAAAAAATTTGGAAGTAAAAAAAATGCTGATCTGAAATAAATTTCATAGCGCGTCAAAATTCAAATTCCCGCATGACGTTCATGGCCGTCTTTTTACATACAGTAAAAGCGCTGCGCGTGCGTGTCAATGATACGGGCGGCTGCGTGCTACGAAGTGTTTTTTGCCTTTCCTTTCATTCTTTCTTGTTGTATTTTGTTGTAGTGCTATTGTTGATTGAAAGAGAGTTAAAGGTAATGACTGCCAAGAGTTTGAATGCTGTTCTCGACAATTTCCTCGTTGCAGTTCGTTTCTATCATGTAAGTGAAAATTTTCTTCACATAATATTATTTGATGTTTAATTTGTTTTTTCTTTTTTTTGCAACTAAACATAGTCTGTTATTTTGTAATTAAGAATAATTTAGCACGATCAGATAAGTTAAGTTTTTTTTTTTTTCATCTAGTACTTTTTTCAGCATAATTTAGTAGGTAAGCTAAAGTTAGGCATTCAAGCAAATTTTATTCTGTTTTTTTTTCTATGAGATGAATGAAAGAAATGGATGTGTATTCAATGCTAAAATCAATGTTCTTCTGTTATGTAAGTAAGAAATACTGTTAAAATAGACTAGAACGAATAGAACAAATAGGTGAATGGGAGAAATTTGCATAGAAAAGCTTGATTTGTAAAAGGAAATGAACATAATAAAAGCATACTTGAAATATGATTACAAATGTTGATGAATTAGTTGTATCAGAGTGGGATAAATCATGGATGTTTAGAATATTTAATGAATTTGCATAAAACTGTGCTATAAAAAAGTATGTTTTTGGAGAAAGCATATGTGTTCACTTTCGTTAACTGATGAATTAGGACTTCGGCGGCTTGCTGAATCAAACTTTTCGCTGAATAAGGTTTCTGTTTAATTTTTTTAATTTCTTATTTGAAAAATATAACAGTACATTTAATATTCGTGCTTGTCTTCTATAGTATTGTTACAAATTTGGTATCGCTTTACCATCGTTTTAGTGTCTAGTAGACATGTGACGAGTTCCTGTAACCTCACGGTTCTTGTCCATGACGCGAGAATCTGCGATATTAAATGGTGTTTCCAAGTAGCGTTGTTCTTCACTGTTTACTATTTACTATTGTTGCTCTCTATTTCGATCTCAATGTTTTTCCAGTTTCTTTAGTATTTTACCAAGTTCTGTACAGTAAGTAGTGGAATATTTGCTCTTTGGAGCATCTTAACTTTGAATTTTAATTCTTGTATTTTATATTAATAATTTCATTATGTTAATGATATTGCTCTCAGTCGGTAGTTTCTTATTTCTTGTTTTAAAAACAGTTTGTGCTTGGTAACTGTTTTGTATCCCGTGTAATAATTCCACGTTTTCCTTTTCCCAAGTTCTGTGGCTCAATTCTACGCTGCTCCTTTGTTCACTTTGCTGCCAGCAATTGTCAAATATGGAAATTTAGTTTTTTTGCCAGCTTATTTTGTTACAACTCATTATTTTTTATTACCTTTCATATAGATCCTAAAGGTCATGTCGCAGTAGCACTTGGTGTAACACTTTTATATCGTGTTTGCTAGTATAACACTGATGTCTGAGTTATGATTCAATTTCCAGCTTGCAGTGTCGGCAATGTCAGTAGCAGGCGTAACAGCAGATATTAGTTCTTCACAAGCGACAGCATCAGGTGAGCGTCAGTCAGCTGCAGCAGCATCTGTCTCTGCTGCAGCACCATCCTCATCTCGGTGGATTTTTACCCATGAACAGCTGATGAGGGTTCCCAGTGTTCGAGAAGGCATGTCACCGGAAGAAGTAAGATCCTTTCTTATTTTCTTTTTTGAAATACATGTTTTTATATTAATATTAACATGCTTTGAAACATTTCAACGTACACTTGTTTTTTCGATATCGCGATATTTTTAGCACTACTTTTGGATGGTGCTTTGAAAAACATTATGCTAAAATATTGGTTTTTTTTTTTTTTTTAAATAATAAAAAATGCATAATTAGTTAACACTATGAGAATCTTGCAAGACTCATGGAATTATTACAATCCATTTCGGAATTTAGGAATTAAAAAGAAGGCGTGTATCAGCAAGTACAATCCACCAAATGGCTGACAGACTAAATCACGAGTCTAGAGTACGGATGTAAGTTATTGCACTTTTTCAGTGCAGACTTTTACTGAAATAGGAGGTTTCAGTATTGAAACATAAGCTGAAGTTTCATATTTGTAGTTTGGTGTTAAAATTCAAATCGGTTTTTGATTGCAGATCTCAATTATGTATATGCGCTGCAATGATGCATATGCATCGATTCTTCGTCTTTCATTCCTTCTTCAAATTTGATCCACGGGTGAGATTGATTGGCCTCCTGCAAAAATAGATTTTTGCACTCAGCAAATTATGATATCTACAACTTGCTTTTCATTTTTTATTACATATTACATGTCTGTTACAATTAGATGTTATTATGTATATTTATTGGCACTAGTGACAATTTTTTCAGGACATTGCTGCTGCATGTTTGTTCTTAGCAGGTAAATCAGAAGAATGTCCCCGCAAACTGGATCACGTTGTGCGTGTCTGGTGGGCCATTAAGTTTCCCCATTCACCAAATTTGGATAATAACGTTAGCTTTTCCTTGCTGTTTACGCCTCTTAAAAACTTCTTTTCTGATTTCACGAAATTATTCCACATGCTTACATATAGCATGAAATAATCACTATGTTGATTACGCAGTCCTTTCTCTATATAATTTAGGATTTCTTACGTGTTTTTGCAACTGGAAAACTCTTTTTAGTTTTTTCCTTTTCTTTCTGTTTTTTTTTTTTTTTTTTTTTTTTTTTTTTTTTATTAGATTACTAATATAAGCGTTTGCAAATGTATCTTTATTTCAAAAATTCGTTTTTGTATGTTAACTGAAAAAACTTACAGCGTCTCCATGAAGCGTCGCAGCTGATTGTCACATTGGAAAATTTGGTCCTGCAAACAATTGGCAAGTTTTGCTTTGTTTGGAATAGGAACGAAGCAATCATATTTTGCTGTTTGTCAACTCAGATATTGAATTGCGTGAGACTATTATGCTTTTGGTTTCCAAAATTGAAATTCAAGTACATTAATTTAAACTTGATGAGCATAATTGAAAAAATAGTACTGCACAGTTTTTCTCAATTGTACATTTACTCATGCAGCATTCGACTTGTCAGTGGACATACCGCATCCATACGTCCTGACGCACATGCAAAAATTTGCACGAGGTTGGTTTTATTATGGTATATTCGTTATTCCAACTGGTTATTTGGCTTTTTTTTTGTGCGAATAATTCTAGAAAGATAAAATATAAACGAATATATTTACTCACGGATGGACTGTGAATGGACACAAAGTTTCCAATCACTTGGAGGGTTATCATGGCATGCTAGGTGGGAGAACAATTCGCTCTCATTGTTAGGAATTTAACAAGCACATTTATGAAGCAGACCGTTGTGACAATTGACATTTAATTTGGAAGCTAGTAACGTTTCTTCACTGACCTGCAAGAATTTTGGTATCTGATATATATAACCGGAGAATTATAAGGAATTGTAAGTTTTGTCTAGACGGAATTTTTTTTTCTTTTGTATTTAAAAAAAAAACACATGATCTATTATAATTCTCCGGTTATATATATCAGATGTATTTAAAAAAAACACATGATCTAGAAATGATGAATCATATTTTACCTGATAATATGAACTGCTGTTTTAGATGCGTCAGGAAACAGAAGGATATCTGAAATAGCTTATTGGTTTGCGAGTGACATGTAAATTTTCTTGGTATTTTTAATAACTAATAATGATTTCTGAGAATAGTGCGGCGAAAGAAAAAAATTGCTACATTTATTTAACACCATCTTTTTGATATGTTTTGCCGGAATATTTTTTGATTCCAGTGCTTCGTGTGGAAGCACTCCATGAGTTATAAAAAAAGCGAGCGAACTAGGAAATGAAAATTTTTATTCATTATTAGTCTTTTTAAAAACCTGGAGATTTATTTTTTTATTAAGGCTCCATATGACAAATTGGGGAGTACGTTACACGGCGAAAGCGATTGCATGTGTTTGCATCCAAATGGCATGTCTCTGGGCAGAATTTGAGGTAAGTCATGCTAAAATTTTGTGTTTTCTTTGATGTCCATTAAGGACAGAAGAAGAGAAGTGTAACGGAATGAAGCTTCTTTTTGCGGCTTGAGGTAAGGATATGTAGTTTCCAACTCGTGTCATTATCTCTTTCAGTGAAACTACAAATTAATAGAACTAAAGATTTAGTGCATGAGTATAATGCTAAGTGCATAAGTGATAAATGAGGCTCATTCATTTTTTTTTTTTTTCTTTCTTTTTCTTTTTCTTTGGACTAATCCGTTTTATTCTCCATTTGGTGAGAACAGTAAGGATGCATGAACAGCACACTTTTTTTTTAACTTTGTTGACTAGACGTATGCTGTTGGAGTTTAGGAATCTGAGTTTAGGTATAAGTATACTTAGATTTCTTAATTTACAAGCAAAATAATGATATTTTGCAGGTAACTGCTGTATATACAAAGCCAGCAGCGAAAACACTACCTTGCCGTTACATTTTAAATTTAGAATGTTGAAAAAAAAGAAAATTTAGTTCTTTAACCTCAAAAAAAAGTTATACAAATTCAAGTGTCTGCTTCGTGTGACTACTTTTTCGTGTGGTTGCATGCGTGGTGCGCAGCGTAACAAATTCGTGAAAAAGCTGTAATGCGTTACTTCCTGCATTTTGCAATTAGTGTTGCGTGTGCGGAAGTGTTAACGCAGATCAGTTTCGATAAGCACTTGAAAGAAAAAAACTCTTGGACTGTCTCTACTGATTGCTGCAAATCGTGCAAGTTCATGACGTGTGAAATAGCGCTTGAGATTTGCACTTCATGTCGAAAAATTGGGAAGTGGAACGAACTTAGTGGCTCATCTTCAATGCTTTGTTGTATTTTAAAGTGAAAAAAAAGAAGTCACTGCATTTGTTCTCGTACCATTTCGTTAAGTAGTGCATCTCGCTGCATTTCATACACTTCACTGAAGACTTGCACGGTTGCGCAATTTAACTGTTAGCAGTGCAGTTCATTAAGAGTGTAAGAATGTACATATAAACCACAAACAAACAGATACTTGACCACATTAAACACAAGTTCTACAAATTATGAATTCCGGGCAGACCGAATCTCCTTTTTCTTTTTGGCTTAAATAATCAATTAGCAGCCAAAAAACTCCGTGTGGGGAATCTACCACTTCGCTTTATTGGAAGAAATACACAAAGATACAGAGGGAAAGAGAGAGAAATTCATATCAAAAATTAAATAAAGGTAACTTTTATTGGTGTTTTTCAAGTAGTTTTTTTTTTTTCTTATTTCTTTACAATTTCCTATCATTTTTCATTCGAAAAAAAGAACATTGAATAGAAATATGGATTTTTGAATTTGCTTCAGAAAATTTTTTGGTATTTCAACATTTGCGTATTCTTCCTCGCCTTTAATCTGGGATTGATATACAAAGTATTTTGGAGAACTAACGCGGGAAAAACAATTTTTTAGATAATATTAAGAGATCTGTTTTTTTTTTTCTTTTTTTTTCAAATTCAAATTAATGCAAAGTTTTCATGAATTAAGTTTTTTATCATGCCTCATCCCTTCTTTTTTTGCGTCTCATCCTGGAGAGGTATTCGAGAGAAGCTGGAGGGTGGGTAGTAGCTTACTAACGATTTGAGTGCTTGTTGGTGTGATCTTGGAAGAATTGAAGCAAATTAATGACTGCTATGGTTTTGCAAGCAATCAAATGTAGATTTTAAGTTTTTTGAAATCAGTCACACAGATCACTGTGTCTTTTTTCCAAGCAACTGTTTTCTTTTTTTTTTTGCACAGCACTTTCAAATGCATATTCTACAAATATTCCAACCAGAATGTTTCTTTTCGGATAATTCCATATTACCAATAGTTTGCATATGCCAATGATAAAAAAGCTTAAATTGGACGATGTGATATAGGACAAGAATACGTATGCTTATTTTTTAATAACACGCACAAAAGCCGTCCAAAAGCTATAGCGATGAAATCATTGGTAATACCTTTATGGTCGTGTGTACATATGTGTAAGCTTTAGCGGTCATAACTCATGGAGGGGAAAAATTTTTACATTTTTTTTTTTTTTGACTTTAAGGGAGTTATTTCTGCAGTTATATGATTGAGAAGAAAATTGTCAAAAATCTGCAGTTTCTTTGCAGGTTTTTTTCTTTATGTCATTTAAAATAGCAAAGATGCATTCCTTAAATTCTATGGCTGGCATTTGATGTCTTCATATCCTCTCATATCTTTGTCATTATATAGTGATTTCTGGACTTTCTTGAATATTTCGTACTTCTATAGTTTTTTTTTTTTCTACGGAGTATTTAGGTGATTTTTGTTTGTATAGTGGAATTCCTTCTTGTTTTACATGAAGTATTCTTATTTTCGATGTGCATTTTATCATGTTTTTTATTGGAAGTAAAGCTTATTTTTGAACTCTTAGTATGCTTCCAGTCTTCATGTTTTCAGAAGAAATAATTTCAAATGGCATTTCAGGGAGTTCAATTTCAGATTCAGACAACACCCGATGAGGCACCATGGTACAAACAAGTTGATCCGACAATGACGCTCGACAAATTACTAAGTGAGTTGTATTTTAGTTTTCGAGATATCTTTCCTTTGAGTTTATTTTTTGATTTTTTTATTAATTTTCAGTTTTTATATCAATTTTGGTATTAATCCGTATAAAACGTCAGTGAAGAGTTTTTTCGTAGTGAGAGCTTTTATCTACGTTTAGAATTAACGGAAGAATTTTCCCGTATCTACAAAACGCATGGTGAGTCATTAAACATCAAGAAGTATGCAATGCGTAGTTCACTGAGAGAAACTAGTGCACCACAAAATGTAAACCAACCTCAGCAACAGTCACCGCAACAACCCCCATCACAGCAACACCGACAAGGACAAAATCGTAGGTTATTTTAAGTAGTCTTTGGACTACTTATCTTTACTCCAATTTATTATTTAATGATTAGATGTCAACATATGTTACGCTCTACTACTGATTTGAAAATTTAAGCGTTAAAACTGAAAATTATGGATCAAATTACAATTTTTGATTTTGTATTGTAAATATTGCAATTTTCGTGTACATGAATTGCTTCAGAGGTGGCACCATCAATCGCTACACTACCACCCCCACCGGTGGCGCCACAGCTTAATGCAGCTGTAGCTGTAAAAGGTGCTGAACCAACTCGACGGATTGATCTCAGTGATTACAAATTACGGAATAATGGTTAGATGTTGTAAATTATTAAAAATCTTGCAGAAAATAATCGATTTCAAGTGCCAGCATTTATCCATTTTTTGTCAGATGTTATTGATCAGTCATCATTTAATCAATCACATAGAAATTATTGTTGGTCATCCTTCTAAATTTTTCCCATTAATCTGTGATCGTACTGTGTTTATATATAAGCGTAGAATTGTTAAATTAATAAGAAGTTGTAAGCATAATATTTCATTGTTTAGCTTATATTGGTGCTTGTTTTATAGCAGCGCAGCAGCAGCAGCAACCGAGTTCTCAGAATTCTGTAGTACAAGCTCAACGACGAAATTTCATGCGCCCTGATGTATTATCACAAACAGCTAGCAAAGGACTGGATTTACCTCTTCCTCCAATTATTGCAAATGGCAAGTTTGTTTGTGTACATTTCAAAATATACCTTGTTATTGGTTAAAATTTTTATTTAAAGATATCTTAGTTTATTTGATTTGTGGCTTTTCAGATTTATCATTAGAAATGCAGTAGACTGAGTTTTTTCTGCTATCTTAGGATAATTTGCGTTTTTCTATATATATATATATATGTTACATCGTTCAGAAAAGCAGCTAAATCAAAATAGGCAGGAGCAAGTTATTGTCAAACCAAATGAAGCGAGAGTCGTCCAACTGTCAAAATCTGGAGCACTCAAACAGATGATCTCGCAGAAACCTGTTATCACAAATGTCTCGAAACCATTGCAATCAGTCAGGCAGGCAACACTGATCAGCGAGCAGGAACGACATAAAAAACCCAAGCCAGATGATTACGATAAGGATTTAAAACATAGAAGGATTGAGAAGACGATTACGGAAGGTGATTTGAGACAAATTCCTCTATAATTTTCCTTCTCTAATTTTTAAATAATGTGATTATATTTCTATCCAATAAATTGATTCAGTATTTTCTAAAAATGATAAGATTAGAGTCGCTGATTGTTTTTTGTCATAATATTTTGGGTTGAAAAATTTCCAGGGTCTCATCATCGGAAGAGGCCTTATGAAAATATTGTGGCTATTAATCAGCTAGATAGCGGCTCCACTATAGAAGCGACTCCAGCGACGAACGTAACATCGACTCCAAAATCTGGAACACCAAAAGCAGTGGAACGTCACAAGTAAATAGACCAAAATGTGCTTCAGTCTAGATTGGAGATTTCCCAATTTATAATTAACTTATCTTTCACAGTCTCAGTTGACTTATCTTTCATGATTATAAATGAAATCCTGTTCTTTGTAGTTACAACTCCACTTCGAGGTCACGTGAGGAAACGGCTTCTCAGTTAGTTAAACGTGACACTAATAGTACTAACAACAGCAATAGAGGCCGTGATGAAAGTATACCATCGCGACAGCGTGATGATGTGACAGCACTAAAAAGAGCGCGACAGACAGCTCCCCTGATTGCGCTTCTACCAACTCCACCAGTGTCAAGTACCGCTTCCGTAATGACTAATTTGCAAAGTTCAAAGTTTGTTTTCTTTGTCTTTGTTTTAGTTGAGTTTATTCTAAAAAATCCTTGGAAAGCTTTAGTTCCTTATTTCGATTGCCTAACAGATCGCTCGTACTTATTCACATACTACTTATTTTCAGTCCATACAATTCTCCATATTTTTGGTTTTTGGTTGCTACATACTTTTATATAAAACAAAGGGAAGCACATTTTGGGGAGAATTTCTAGGTATAACTCATCGACAGTGCAGCCGAATCGTTCAAATCATATTGCTGAAGGTACACACAGAGCTAATGCTAATACGAATTGGTCGGTGACGAGCGATTATTATATGGGCTCATCTTCCAGTAATGCGTCACGTTTTGCACAGTCATCTGGATCGTCTAATCATAGAGTGAGTGTCGTTCTGATTTTGTCTTTCTGTCTTGCTTTGAATTGGATTATAGACTGATTAATTCCGATTCATTTTCCTAGCTTATCATTGAAAGTAGTCGAACTATTGTAGCATTATTCATCATCAAGTGCCGGACGTACGAAATCACGTGAACCCTTACTAAGTACACCTGACACAGGGAACTCTTATTATAAACGTTCCCGTCTGCGACCATCTTCACCTACTACAGTAACGATATCAAATACTTATCGGCAGTCACAACGTCCGCCAAGTCCTGAAAATCGTACAGGATCCAGTTATTCAAGTAATAGTTTATAATGCAACATAGAAAGTTATTTAGAAATATTTATATATTACTTGGGAAGTTACATATAATTTGGTAAACAATGCGATTCTTCATCTACAACTTTTTGCCGCATGTTTATCACATTGTGCAATATGTACAGTACCTAGAGACCTTTCGATTCATTTTTTTTTTTTTTTTTTTTTTTTTTTTCTATTCATGCCCATATTCTAAGTTCATTCTTAGTTTTGCAGTAGCTGCCGCATTTTGTTCGCTTTCTAGGATAGTTTGCATGTAACCTAAAAATTATTTCACAATGAAATAAAGTATTTATAATGGGTGTGACAATTATAAAACATCATATGTTACGTTTGTTATCATATTTCATTTTCTCACAATTTGTGATTTACGCAAATAACCACCAGGATTTTAACACGGCATGCTATGTTGGATGATGACATGAGCTTTTTTTTGGTTACACTCATTTCGACTTGTAATATCGATACCATCAAGATAATTCAGGTTTTGTAGCACTTTTTTCTTGTGTGCATGCAAAATTTAGGTTTCACACGGCGCCACTGTCGAGGATATATCTATAAAGTAGCATCACTTCAATCATCACCGAAATATAGGCGCGAAGAATGGAAGAGACGTAATTCTTGGCGATCACGTGTGCTTTGTTCATCCTATGCCAACACAAGTTTAGCTAATGCTTCGTTTATTGCTAGTTTTCCTATGCTTTCATTGTTCTATTTCATGATATTTCCTCTCTTTATGGCTGTCTTTTTACACTTATAGTAATATGTTCGTCAAGTTTGTGCATGCCATTCAGACTTACTTTTTTTCCTTGAGATCTTTGCTATTGTAAGTGCTCCTGCACTTGCAGAAGTTATTGGTGCGTTTCTTTTTCACATCTTAATACAACATAAAGTGGAGCCAGGAGAAAGAGAGTACAGGAGAATAATGTGAGGTCCCCTTCCTATTATTCTTGTGTTCCAGGTAATTCAATACGTATACTTTCAGCTTTGCCACCGCCACCTTTACCACCGCAAAATGAAGAACTTGAAGACGGCGAAGTTTTATAACGGTACGTTCTCCCGCTGTTTTCATAAGCTTAGGAATTGCGGTTAGGTTCTTTTTTTCACAGAGGAGATTTTTTTCTCTGATGTTGATTTGTGAAATTTTATCATTCATTCGCAGATTTTTATACGCTAATAATCTGTCTATGTTTTTATTCATTTTGGTATATGCTGTGTAGTCAATGATCTTGCAGATTTATTGTTTCTATAGCTGGATTCTAATTCGGTCATAGCTTACAGATAATGTAGTCATGTAGAAATTTGGCTGTTGGAAAGCATCTGATTTTAAAAAAATGTAAAAAGGAATGTAACATAGCATTAGTTTTTCAAAGATGGGTATAAGCATAAACAATGAAAATATTTCTGGAGAAAAATGTGAGCTGTTTACTTTATGACAGGGATGACGAAACAAATCGATTTAAATGGACAACATGTTTTTGCTCAATGTAAAAGAAACTTCGCCTTCTGTGTACGAGATATTCGAGTTTCTAAATGGTGTTTTTATAGTTCCTTATCACTGATCAAGGGAGGATAAGAGCTGAATTCTAATTTATAAAATCTTCAGTAATGTAAAATGTTGGAAAGCATCTGTCTATAAGATTTTTGAAATCTTGCTACATTCTTAGAGAAATAAAATCTTTTAATGTATGTTTCAAGAACACTTTTTTTTTTTTAAATTTTGTGGAAAATATTGGTGAGATTGACGAAACAAAGTGGAATGGGTGCAAAGCTATTATAGCTGTAATCAGTATACGTCAGCATTTTACGCCTCAGTAGTAATATATATCTTTATTTTTTGAATTTTTTTTTCAAATATTGGCAGTTTGTACATTGAAGTGATGCTTGATCTCTAATGAAATGTTTGTAAGAGATAATTGGCTGTCATTTTTCCGAAGCTTTTATTTCGTCTTTATTGTGGATGCTGTTACTGTGCGAACTGTTGTGTGCGGGTCTTTTTTGTGCTGTTTTTTTTTTTTTTTTTCGATTCTCTTACTGCTTGTACGCTGAACCATGCGTGAACCGTGTCAACCGGCCGACCAATTTCCCGACAATAAGGAATATTTACCGGCACACACCTTTCGATTTTCTGAAATTCTCGTGATTCGATGGGTTTCACCATTGCTTTTACTATTACTGATGTATGATCTACTTTTTCCTTTAATAAAATTCTTTTTGTAACAAAACGTCTTTTTTAACAGGTAGTTTTTTCGCAAATTACATCTCTTAAATGGGGTATGAAACTTCAGTGATGAAGTTTTCGCCGTTTTTGGGCTATATTGTTTCTAGGCAATTATTTTGTAACCTGATTGTCTCATCTTTATATGAAATTTGAAAGCGGAGTTTTTTTTGTTTGTTTCCTTTTATTATTGATGAAATCTCTAGAAATTTATAATGCATATCTTAATAGTCGAAGAAAAATATGCTGCATAAGTTTGATAAATTAGTGAATCTCTTATTCATGATTGCTAATGTAGGTTAACATTCAGATACTCATCGTAATTCTCGGACCGCTGATTCACACATCGACGTAAATTTTAGCTCGAAGAACGCAAAAAAAACATTTTTTGATCTATTATGATAATTTAAATACATAAAGATCTGCACTTGAGGTCTTCATTAGTTTTACGGATTTAGCGAAGTTTTTAACATGTTTGTGAGTCTGAAATGCAATGCGTATGAAAATGTGCTACAGAAGAACAGTATATAAACAAAAGTCAGCAGAGGTTGTTGCCAATTTCTAGTAGCAACAATGAGTGGGAGAGTTCTTTCTGTCTCTTTAGTTGTTTTCTGGGTATATCAAACTTGCGTAATTAAACTTTTATCCTGATAAAAATTTAACAATTATCAATAACACAAAAGGAAGTGAAAATTACACCATATATCCCAAACAAATCGATCCAGCCCAAAGAATTTCATAAAATAAATTTGATGGGTAGGACCGTATGCTATAACGAATTGGAGGATTCAGTTCCTTACAAAATATCAAATAGCCTTTTTAGGACACGCATCTAATATAGCACTTTTTTGTGTTAGCGCAATATAAAATGGTAAAGCATTATGTATGTAAAAAAAAAACTGATGATATCTGGCTTTAAACAAAGGTTATCGCCTTCTTATTTCCACTCGCGATATCAGTGATACCGATGAGCCTCAAATATGAAAACTGAGGCAAGATTTTCGTCGCTAAGAATGATTTGAATAACATTTTTAAGGGACGGTGATATGAAGTTAATTTCTTAAATTTGGCAGTATTTCCAACACATTAGCCTTAAATGGAATGCATATGAAAATTACATCTTTGATCGTCGCATAGTAGTAGAATGTTCAATGGATACTATGGTATTTGTGATATCCAGCTCTGCAAGGAAATCTTTGTCGCTAATGTTTAGCATAGGAACGACAAGCAATACTTGCTATTGTAATAACACAGCGAGACATCACTTCACTAATTTTACAAATTAAGGAAAATTTTAAGCATTCTGTCAATATAAAATGTAATCTACATAATTAGCACAATAATAACTATGACAATATGTACTAGCAAAATTATTTTCTTATATTCGTTTTAATCAAACACTGAATTTTTTATCTGTTCTTTCATGACCCTTTAATAGAAGAGAACAAGAAGTAATTGTTAAGTCAAAGAAATAATGATGTATTTATGGCACATATACATAAAGTAAGAGTGTTATAACAAACACACCGATGAAATTCCATTGGAAACAAGGACTATTAGGTGAATATGGAAAGAAAAATGTGTGAAGAAAATAGATAAAGTCCGCAACCATTAGTATCTCTGGAAGTTGAGGCAACACATCTAACTACTCTACCATTTTGACAAATGTCTGCAACATTGAGTAGAGAGAGATGCATCTGTTGAATTAGAAATCCTATACACTCATTGAGCTAATATGCCACAGATTTTAATTAATTGTTTAATTAGATAAGTCGTTTAAATTGACCTAATTGATGAATGAATTTGTCTCTCATTTCCCTCAATTAAATGTATTAAAATAATTTCTTACTCAAAAGTAACGAAATGTCAAGTTTTATGCCAACACAAAACGAAAAACAAGTCTTTTATAAATCATATTGTCTGCTTTTCTTCCTGCACTAAACAATTTAAGTTTTAAATCAAAAAATGAATTGATCAGTGATATTTCACTGCTCTGTTAACCCATCTTTAAAGAATTGTTCTTTCATATTTTCCATTAACAATGTGATCTAAATAATAAGAAAGTTAAAATTTCAACACTACAGCATACGGATTCGTTCTGAAATCAGAGTCCAATGACATGAAGATTTAAAGTTAAAATTCAGAGAGACACAAGAAAATACAATATTAGCATAAGTGGAAACTGGAAAACTGTTAAATATATTTTTAATCTGTACAATTCTAAAAATGACACCTCTATGTAAAACTGAATATTCATTATTTGTACCAAATGATTTGCAAATTGTTAAGGAAATTATCGGTTTTCGCTCTTCATATTATTTCAATCATATTTTAATCTATAATTTCTATTCTTTGTTTCTTTCAGTTACTCTCTCCATATAGTCAAACCAATAGTTTTCTGTACTATGATTTCTTAGTGTATAATCATATATAATCCACTGAAAATTAAAAGTATATTTACATGTTTATAACAAAAATAAATTAGTATATCATTTGTTGTAGTAATATTTCTGCCTGCTCATTTTAACATTTATGCAGACTACGATTTGTAAATTTGATAAACGCGAATCATCTAATATTTTGAAGAAACAGGTGGGCATGCACTACTTTTTTTCAGTAGACAAATCGTTTGGTGTGTGCATTAAAATTTGCTACAGAAAATAGCTAGCGTCATGCAGAAAAGTTTAAAATATGATCAGTTAAATGTAACTGAAATATCCAGAATGATCAGTTAAATGTAAATGAAATATCCAGAATGTTAATTAGCTAGCGTCATGCAGAAAAGAGTTAATAATTAAATTATGCTATTCATCGATTATGACAAATTTAGAGAAAGTTTCATTACTGGAAATGATACAATATTAGTAATTCAACCGCAAGCTATAAGATAAATTACAATCGATACTGTACTGAATTTCATGCTTCATGGTGACAATAGTTAAACATTTATTTCCTGGGCTAAAAAAATTCCCTGTAATCATCCAAGGCAACAAGCACGGCTAAACATCCAATAAAATCCGAAAGCGCATCCATCAAATATCAATTAAGTGGTACAAAATGAGAATGCAAGGGAGAAAGTATAAAAAATGCGAATCAAAAATTAAAAATTATTTGGTTCATTATTCTTTGGTCGTTTAATTCCAGTCAAAATGAAATAAACACCTTTCACTTGAGTATTTCTACCATTTTATAAACTCACTATTTCATTTTGTTCTTCGTAAATCGATGTTCCGCTAATAATGGAACTACTTGTCTACTAAACCTCGATGACATTGCATGGGATGACTGTAGCAATGAGTACTTCTCAACTAGTTTCAATATCCTTGATAACATCAATTTGGATCCAATTCTTGGTTCACATACGTTTGTTTATAATAATGAACCGAGAAACACTGGTGGAGACTTGTCAGGTACAAGTGCTAAAGAATCACACTGTGACATTCCGTTCAATAGTTTGGACTTGTACAATTTTGCTCATTTGTTCAGTGAAGATACAAACAATGTGGAATCGACAACTGAAAGAGCAGAAAATTCTCAGTTATTACTGCAAGAATTGTCGGGAATAAGTGCTGAAAATTTTCAAAGTGGCACTTCACTTGATTCTTTGCACTTTTTCGATTCCATCCAATTACGCAGAATTAAAGATGCAAACACTGAGGAATCCAAAATGAAAATTGATTTCGCTACTGTACAAAATTCACAGCTATCTCTTTTACAAGATCCTTCCATTCCAGGTACCACTAAGTTTTTTCTTCTAATATATATTCAAGTTTTTAATATGTATGTGTTCAACTCAGTTTAAGTTCTGTTTTATCTAAATCTGAAGTTT